CCTGGCCCACTGCCCGAGTGTGTTCAGCACATATCTGAATGCCCTAGAAGAGCTTCAGCCAGATCACCTCATTGGAGTGGGCTGCATATCCTGATCTATGCCTTAAAGTCTGGTTAATCCAGGATCCTGGGGCACCCTCTCCATCCCCACACTTGCTGTGTTGTCATCTAATACCATCAAGGCCTCTCCCACAAAGGCATTTTCTTTATAACTAACCTTTTGGGACTGCAGTTTCAGACAGTTCCCCACCTGCAAGCCTGAACAGGAAATGATTCGATTGCAGATATTATGACTGCAACTCTCTTTGGCAAGAGTGTGTGGTAACTGTGAGATTGCACGAACTCCAGCTGAACATTTTATTTGATGCATCTAATGATTTACTAGAGAAGGCGCCAAGCTAATGGTTGTTCTCAACAAAAAGCAACCACTACACCACCCTCCTTCCAGAATGGGTTGCTTCTTTTCTTTCTTTTCTTTTCTTCCCTTCTTTCCTTCCTCCCTCCCTCCCTCCCTTTCTTTCTTTTGTTTCATGAGGGGAAGGTAATTAGGTTTATTTATTTATTTATATTTGGAGGAGGTACTGGAGATTGTACCCAGGACCTCGTGCATGCTAAGCATGTGCTCTACCACTTGAGCTATACGCTCGCCACTGGTTGCTTCTTTTCAAACCCACAAAACTTGCAGGAAAATCTCTCCACGCGTATTTCCAAAACCTGGGTTTCTATAATGAATCCAAAAACCTCATAGTAATTGCCTCATTCTGAGTATTTTAAGTTAGTATTAAGAAGGATAGAGGATATACAAAAATAAATCCGTGAGAGGAGACTAAGAAAGAATTTAAACTATATGTACATACAGTTTATACACACACACACACACACATCACATACAGTTCATTTAAAGGCTGCATAACATCAAAGGACAGGATATATTTTAATCAAACTATTGTGACTATAATCACTTCTCAGTGTACACAGCCTAGGTGGGAGTAATTGTATCAATAAATCTCTGAGCAACTTTTTACAGAATAAATTCTTTACCTGAAATGTAAAAAATTAATGTCATACATATTTATAATCAATCACTATGTACATGCCTTGGTACTAGGTGAGAAGGTAGTAGGAACTGAGAAGGAAAATAACCCTATACATCTATATAATACTTTACAAAGAGACTTTCACATATATGATCTTACTTGACCCTATGAGTTAGGATGGCAGACATTATACCCACTATGCAATGAAAGAAACTGGTTTGCCAAGCTGAGAGCAACTTAGCCAAGTTCCCCATTGGCAAGATCAAACCAAGAACTTCAAGTTCTTGACTGTTGGCTCAGTGCCGAGCCCTAGCTGCCTACCACAAAAAGTCTCCTCTGCCCTCAAGGAATTAATCTCTGACACTTAATGTCTTGGCCAGTGTTTCTAGATGTACTAAGTTTCTTCCCAGAAAGCGTCTCACCAGTCTCTTGATACAACATCATATACTGAATCTAATTCAACACCATTATGTGAAAGGTTATTTATTAATATCACTGACAATTAAAAGATGTGAGCTCCTTCTGAAGGTTATAATTATTAATGTGAGACTGAATAAAACTGAATTAGGACAGAGTGCTCAAAATGTATCTGTCACTTTGGGATAAACGCCACGTTTTGCTTATGGGCGTAATACTGCCCTCTAGTGCCAGGAAGCACAGTAACCTCAGCAGACTCAGCTAAACGCATATTAACAACCTACTATATAAAAGTGCGCTTTGCTAAGCACTTTGGACAGGGCAGAAAGAAAAAAGGCTAAGCCTAACACACACATACACCCATAAAAACTATGTAAGACCCCCTCCAGGAACTTATAAATATAATGGAGAAGATAAGAAATGTAAAACAGATCACTGTAATCAAAGATAGGGTTGTAAGTGCTTTAA